CAGCTGCTCACCCAAATTTCGATCATGTCTCCAAATTATTCATTGATCAATCACAAGCACAAATAATTAAATCTTCAATTTATTTCTATTGTAAAGTAAAATATTTATTTATTTTTATTTTCAGTTATTCATCGAACCATATCACATATGGTCATTTCACCATTGCCGCTACCAACCAAATCACTAAATGACCAACGAAAATTAGCCGACGAATTCAATCATTTCTTTTCTGATACAAAACCATTCGATTCAGTTTTATTAAAAATTTTTTTAGTGCCAAATCGTAGTTAGAATATGCATCCCGCGCAAACCTACCTATTGAGAACATCATCATCATCATCGAGTTTTATAAACATGGAGCAAGATCGTTATACATGTAATATAAATAAAGTAATTTTAATAATTTAATAATTAATAAAAAAAAAAAAAATTGATTATGTATTTTATTTATGTTTTAAGTTCAAACAATGTCGATGGTCTACCGTCCTTTGTTCAAAGTTCACAGTCATTGGATGAAAAAGATGGATTAGATTTCTTCAATTTTCCACCATCTCGATTAACTTATACTTATACTTATCACATTATTTGGGTTACCCACTAATATTATGATTATAGAGGGTTTTTTTTTTAAATAAGTCAGAAAAACTTTTTTTTTAGTTTTGAATTCTTAATAATAATATGTATTTAAACCCAACCCATTCTAGTTTTTTATCCAATTTTTCACTAGTTATACATGTACTAAAATCCAAAAGTTTATTGCTATTACTATTTATAATCGAAAATGCAATGTGTCAGTTCTTCATGCAGCACTATGGAAAAGCATCCTACAAAGTTGGTTTAGTTAAAAATAAAACGAAATAATTAAATAATTAAAAATGTATTAGATTTAAATTAACTTTAAGTTATAACTGGTCTAAAACTTATAAAACTAAGAAGTGTTATTAATTTCATGTTATCAACAAACAACCACGTGGTACCTAATCATTTATAACTATTATTATATAATAATACGGTATAATTTGGTAGGTATCATAGGAGTCCGTAATTAATTATCTTGCTGGTCAAACAATATGTCAGATAATTGATAATTATTGTTATTGAATATTCATATAAGACATTTCACAATTTCACATTTTTATGCTATTGAGTATCTAGTCAGTCGACTGCGTTATTGTTCTTGAAAATGGTTTAAAAAAAAATAGTATTGAGTTAGGTTTTTGAAGATTTAATTTACAATTTTCAATAATATTAAATTAATATTTAAGACGGTCTTTGTATGGTAGTTAATAATTACAATCAATTTATATTTGGAAAAATAAATTACTTCGTCTAATCTATTCATGGTTGTATGATAAAAAAATATACTCGTGATGAGGTTTATGGTTTCAAACAAAATTTTAAATATTATATTAAATTAACCATTCCTAAATTCCAATCAATCCGTTGGATTGGGTGATGGATTTAGGAATAAATTGATATTATTGACTACCTAGTACTTAGATTAAGTTCAGACTTCAATTGATACTGTTGACAGTTTTCTCTCAGTTACATAAACATGCATTTATTGCATTTAAATTTTAGAATCTGTAAAACTATGAAGACAGGATGTAGTATTAAGTATTTTATATTTTATAATAATATCTTATTATTTTATGTATTAATAAATATATAATATATTATTATACATATAATTTTAAAGTTTAGAAAAATTGGCGGTTAATTTGTCAATATCCACCGGCATGGATGTAGGCCAACATGATGGCATATCATATTTTTTAACTGTTATCGAACGTTTTCTGTCGGTGGTACAACATCGAATCTGTAATGGTAAATTATTCATTTAATGTATGCTGAATATTGAGTATAAAAGTATGCCCTATTTAGATTACCATGTCTCCTTTGGACCAATAGGCATATCTAGATTTTGCCCGCTTGATAATTAATTCGTCATCTTGGTTTGACGGTTTGACTAATTTTATCAGGTTTTTAAAATCCGAGTGCATTGGGCACCACCATTCTGAGCACTATAGTAAAATATTATTTATGTAAGTACGTTTTTTAAATAATAAATTATTAAGGTACTTATTTAATATTTGATATTAAAATATTTTTTTTTTAACAGGTACAACTGGTTTTGTGGTGTTAAATATTTATTAAATATGAAGTATTTACCTGTTTCACTAACTCTATGCACTCAACATCAAATGTTTTTTCATTGCTGGATGAAACATTGCAAGTTGTTGGTTGCTGAGAAGATGTGCCAGGTGTGGTGATATTGATATTAGTATTTTTGACCTCGGGAATAACTTTTGGAATAAAATTGGATTGAATCTGTCCTATAATATTATTCTCCAATCTTGCCAATTTTATGTCCAAAAGCTTTTCAATACCATTTAATGTTGCCATTTTTTCAATGTCCTTTTTCTGTATTTTATGTTTTATTAGTATGTATTAGTTTTAGTTATAGTTATTTAGTATAGTTTTAGTATCTTGTTATTAAGTATTAGTAGACTATTCTATGTTAATTTTATCTTACCAATTTCACAACTTTTTGTTTAAGATATTCATTTTCCATATACATGGCATCACATTTATGTTCTAAAGCCATATGTTTTCTCTTCACATCATCCTGTAGTAATTAAATATGCAGTTTCAAAGTTGGTTTACAATAATTTTAATAATTAAAATGTTAGTTTTTTTTTTCAATGTCACTTGTTAGATATGTATAAAGAAAGCAAATTTTCAACAACTAGAAACATTTTATAATAGGTGTATTAAAGCCCACTCATGTTGTGGCAGCAGCAGTCGGGATATAAAAGAGTCAGACATATTTACTGCTGGTACTTCTATGTGTGTTAGCTTTAAGTAAAAATTATTAAAATATGAATTATTTACCAATTTTAGAACAGAATCGCCAATGTCCTCCTTAAGTTTTTCACTTAGTTCAGTTACTTCACTTAAGTCAGAGTGTAAAATATCATTTTTAATTTTTAAACCATGTGCTTCCTATGATTAAGACAATTAAAAAAATATATCAACCAAATATTAAAAAATTTAAAAAAAATTATAAACTTTAATTAGCTAATTTTAAATAGCAGAGTAGAAATATTTTACCTGCATTTTAGTTTCCAATGATTGAAACAATAATGAATAGCCATGTTTATAAAATTCCAATTCTGAAACGCTATTTTTTGTATTCATTGCTTGGTAGTCTTCATAAGTCTCAGGATATTTATCCATTTTTATTTAAAATTAAAACAATGTTTAATTTTAAATTAATACAAATGAAAAAATGTTAATAAAAATATCTAATGTATACTTTAAAATAATATGTACATATCATGTAAAGTAGACTTCAGATACTAGACTGTTGTATTGGATGTATAAGATAATATTGTAAAATCATTTTTACCTATATTTAGGGAAAACCTATACTTAATCTAATCACAGATGTTAACATTTTTCCTCTGTATAATAATTCATATAGTTGTGTATTTAATATATTTAATATATATTTGTATTTAAACTATATAGTTTTTAATAAAATATATATTTTATATTTTTTATTTATATTATTGTTTATTGTTTTACCCAACTTTATTTTCAAAGTTAGTGTATAATTTTCCATGCCATAATATGTATACCAACGACGAGAAAGTTGATATGGTTTTTGTATATAATGAGTGTAACGGTAATAGTCGAAAATCACTGGAGCTATACAGAGAAAGATTTCCTACCAGAAATCAACCTTCTCGGATGATTTTCTCGCGTTTAGTTAATAGTTTAAGGAAGACAGGACATTTTCCAGACAGAAAACACGAGTCACACATGAGAATTGTGACCAATATCCCTGCCGAAGAAAATGTAATTACATACTTTACAGCATATCCAAATAGTTCTTTATCTAAAGCATCTAAAGATCTTGGTATACCGAAAACTTCAATACATAGAATTTTAAAAAGGCAAAATATGTTTCCTTATAAAATACATATAGTTCAACATCTCCGTGTTACTGATTATGATAAACGTATGAATTTTATTGCTTGGTTTCAGGTTAGTAATCATGTTTTGTATAAAAAAAAAAACTTCATTGAATTTTTATTTAAAAACATTCATAAAATTTATTTATATTTTTATACATTGTTACATTGATACTTAATTAAACAATAATACTATATTTAAACAGTCTATGATGGAAGATGATCCTTCACTTATAAAGAAAGTATTATGGACTGATGAATGTAAGTTCCAAAATAACGGAATATTGAACCGTCAAAATTCTCGTTATTGGAGTGACAAGAATCCTTGTTGGATGAGGGAAAGTAAATTCCAAGTTATGTGGAGTATAAATGTGTGGTGTGGAATTGTAGGTGATTGCTTGGTAGGGCCATATTTTTTTGAAGGTATGTACATATATTTTTAATCAAAATATATTAAACAGCCACATCTGTAAAAAAATATTAAACATTACATTAATATATTTCATTTAGGTATATTAACTGGGGAAAAATATTTAAACTTTTTAAAAAATATTTTACCCATATTATTGGAAGATGTGCCTCTTGACATACGGAACGATATGTACTTTCAACAAGATGGTTGCCCAGCTCATAATGCTTAGATTGTAAAATCATTCTTAAATGACACATTTGGTAAAAAATGGATTGGAACAGTTGGTCCAATTTCCTGGCCTCCAAGGTCTCCAGATTTAACATGCCCAGACTTTTTCTTATGGGGTTATCTTAAAGATAAAGTGTATAAAACTGAATCTGTAGACATCAATGACATGAAAGAAAAAATAAAATCTGCATGTTTTAAATTGTCAAAAGAAACATTAAAAAATGCCACTGGACGAAAGTTAATGGAACGTTTCGAAAACTGTGTACTAGAAGCTGGACATCAATTTGAACACCTAATGCAATAGGTGTCTTTTAGTAAGATGCTTTAGTGATATGGTTTAACTTATAGATACTACACAATAAATAATTTAACGAGTACATTTTATTTAATTAATCATACATAAAGATCTTCATACCTACTTCTATAATCGAATAATTGGAATATAATCTTGTTGCGGTTGTGATTATTTGGTATTCATTGTAATATGTAATCTAATTTGATTGAACTGGATATAACAGAGATATAACTTTATTTCAATTATTCCTTCAATATTCTTTCTAAATGATAAACATAATATGTTTAAGCTTTTACAACTTTCATAAAAAAAATAAAAAAAACATTTCAATTAGGTACCTACCATAAATTAATTTTTAAATTATAAAGACTAGATTCTTGTGCAAATTGAAATTTTCACTTTGTAATTCCATATCTAAAATTGTATTGAATTTGTACCTATGTATTCGTAAATCTCTATGGATCGAAATCGATTAATTTTAATAGTTTTATTTTGCATAGCAAAAATGTGACAACTAACGATCATGATATACAAATACAATGTATAACCATTTGGCTATTATAGTATGAAAGCATGATAGTTAATTAACAAAATATTATAAATTAAATTAAATTATATTATGGGTGCCTATTAAACACAAATACATGAAATTGAATTTTGCATAGTTCAAAATTTTAATTGATTTTTAGGTATTTGGTGCACAAAAATCTGGTCTTGGTCTTTAGTAATACAATTTAATTTATAAGTAACTCATAAAGTAGTTAATAGGTTACTATAACTAAGGCTATTATCTATTTAAAAAATAACTACTTACTAAGGAAAAATTTCCTGCCAAAAATCAAACTTTCCAAATGGTTTTCTCACGATTAAATGATGGTTTGAACGTTTTTCTAGTAACAAATTCCCAGTAACAATATACAACTGTACGAGTACACACACTACGCGTTTGTCAGTTATTTAAATTTAAGTCATCAAATTAATTCGTTAACGGCGTTAACGGCTATTTTTATTTACACATATAGTATTTCAGTAAAAAATAAAAATAAAATAATTTTAAGGTTATAAATCATATCTTTAAACTTATATCACTATTATCATAGAACACTATAGAAGCGTCACTCTCGGGCGGCCAATGTTAATGTGTTTAAAATTCTTAACGGCCTTGAAATGGTTCGTAACTTCTACAATAAATCATGAACATATTATGTCTATGGCCGAAAGACTCGATATTAGGCCGCTTTAGACGTTCGCGTTTCTCGCGCGATAGGAATGGCGCGCCGTGCATTACGATCAATCCCGGCGAATTGGCGCGCGGCAGCACGCAAGATCGAACAAAAATATGATACACGCCAGATCCTACGTTCTTTCGTTTATGAAAGTTGGCAAGAAATTACGTCGTCTAAAGGCTAAGCGTCCATATTCCCGCGCGATTGGCGTGGCAACACAGCATTTCGAAAATATCAACAGTTTGTCCACGTTCCCTTGTTTTGGACTTCGGTAGAGTCTTTGTTAATTTTCCATAAGCATGGAAATTCACGATATTTTCTAAAAATTCGGAAATAAATTCCTTTGATAAATATCTTGAGTCACTCATATTGTTTAAGTAGAAAATTAGGGGAAAAATGTAGAAAATTTCGGCCTATATTGTTAACACAAAACGCACCAAACAAGTAACTAAAATAATTTTTAACTTTGATAAAATCGTATACATATAGTAATAGTATATGTTAGTAGTTTTTATCTTAGGCTAGGATCACACTATGCGTTTTGTCGGTTCCCGATCAACCGGAGCCAAACCGCAACACTCTAAAATAAAATAGGTTTAAATATAAAACGCGTTATCGGGGCCAGACTAGACCGATTTGCGGAACCGATTAAAAACCGTCGGGAAGCGACCGCAACGTGTTGCGGCCCAACCGTCCGGTTGCGTTTCGGGATGTAAAGCACAACACATGTAATGCAGTTTGTCCGATCACATTTGCGCGGATTATCGGTAACTAAAATTGAAAAATATACCTATATTAATAATAATTCTAAAATTTTAAAATTTTAATAAATTTATTTTATTAAATTAAATTATTTTAAACTTTAATTAAAAGCCGTGTAAAATATATTTTTAATATACTATATATATATATTTTACTATCAATAAATTTTAATATGTTTGATACGGAAAAATTGATTTTGGAGGTTCAAAACTTTCCATGTCTTTGGGACATGAGTTCTCCTTCATATAATGATAGAGATTTAAAAAGATCATGTTGGCATAAAGTAGCAGAAAGTTTGTACCCCAAATTGGGGAATCTCGACGAAAAGGAAAAAGAAGAAAAAGGTAAGTGCTAAATTTCATGAATATACTACAATTTATAATAATTATATAATAAATCAGATTTAATTTAATGTAATATAAATAAAAATATTTCAATAAAATCATTTATATTGAAATGGTACCGCCCCTTCAGTAACAAAATAGTTAGCATAGTTGTCTCTTGTTTCTATGCCTCCAAAAGTAACATTTCTCCCATGAAACTGCAAATCATTTAATTGAACATTGAAATTCTCTTCAGTCTCTTCGTAATTACACCCATCTCTTTTTCTTACGAAATTATGGAGAATGCAGCATGCCTTCACAATATCGTCACAAAATTCTGGTTCAACCAAAATGGCAGTATGTAATACTCGCCATTTATTTGTAAGTACTCCGAACGCACATTCGACTGTTCTTCTCGCTCTCGATAGTCGGTAGTTAAATATACGCCTTGTATCATTAAGACCACGACCTGGAAAAGGTCGCATTACATTTGTATGAAGGCCAAAAGCTTCATCGGCAACGAATACAAATGGTTGTATATTATTTTCGGAAGATGGCAATGCTCTGGGTTCGGGAATTTCAAGTAAATTTGAGTATAATTTTTGTCCAAATACACTTTCCCGAAACACAGTTGGATCAGCCTCCCTTCCATAGGCACCAACATCAATCGAAATAAAATTTAAATTGGCATCTACCACAGCCATCAACACAATGGAAAAATATTTTTTATAATTAAAATACAGCGAACCGGCGTGGTTTGGGTTTTTGCACCTGATGTGCTTGCCATCTATAGCACCAAGACAATTTGGAAAATTGGTTTTTTTATAAAATAAATCGGATATTTGTAACCAGGTTTCTTTTGTAGGTTTTGGCATTTCGGCTTCTAATAGCACTGACCATAATAATTTACATGTTT